TTTCTCTCTCTCTCTCTCTCTCTCCCCTCGTCTTAAATCTTATATTGTATTTCTGTAAACTAGGGCAATTACATGTATGCGCCAGCATGCATATCGCATACGTGTAATATGTAGGACATCTTCGTTTTATTGCAAACATTGTGCAAACGAAGCACGGAACAGTCGTTATCTAACCGTTCTGTTTGCTCCGTGCTGAAATTTTCCGAATTGGCGGAGTTACTCGCATGAATTTCGTCTGCACTCGGTGGGAAAGAGCTTACTCCAAAATTTAACTATCTGCATATTCTGAGAATATATTTCTATATATTTGTCTTAGAACAACTTTTTTTGTCCCGTGTGATAAATACAAGCTGAATGAAATGAAATCTGGGCTGGAAGAAATGAATTAAAATTAAAAGAAGAAAACTAAATTAAATGAAATTTGGAATGATCAACTGTATCGTCTGTATTGTGAAAAATTTGATCTGAGAATATATCTCGTTTATTTCAGAACGTTACAAATACTTTCAAGTCTTTGTCTCTCGTGTGATAACTACAAGCTGAATGAAATGAAATTTGGGCTGGAAGAAATGAATTAAAATTAAAAGAAGAAAACTAAATTAAATGAAATTTGGAATGATCAACTGTATCGTCTGTATTGTGAAAAATTTGATCTGAGAATATATCTCGTTTATTTCAGAACGTTACAAATACTTTCAAGTCTTTGTCTCTCGTGTGATAACTACAAGCTGAATGAAATGAAATTTGGGCTGGAAGAAATGAATTAAAATTAAAAGAAGAAAACTAAATTAAATGAAATTTGGAATGATCAACTGTATCGTCTGTATTGTGAAAAATTTGATCTGAGAATATATCTCGTTTATTTCAGAACGTTACAAATACTTTCAAGTCTTTGTCTCTCGTGTGATAACTACAAGCTGAATGAAATGAAATCTGGGCTGGAAGAAATGAATTAAAATTAAAAGAAGAAAACTAAATTAAATAAAATTTGGGATGATCAACTATATCGTCTGTATTGTGAAAAATTTGATCTGGAATGATGTGTGAAATTTTGGCTGGAAGAAATGAATTAAAATGTAAAAAATTTGAAATTTAAAATTTAAAATTTGAAAAAAACTGAATTAAATAAAATTTGGAGTGATCGTATCCTTGTCACACGCTGTATCACTCTACATTGAGAATATTGAATGAAAAAAAAAAAAAAGGAACGTATCGCAAAAGATATTCCAATTGATCCTGTCGAGGAAATGCTTCTGAAAAACCCACCACATTCAAATGCGAAAATACTGATGCGATTGAAGTATTGCACGTAAAAACCCTAACTCGAAATCCGCGGTTCTTTACTGGTACACATGTACGCAAATTTCAAACTTAATCCTTGATCGTTTCAAACGATTTCCCTCGAGCTTGTCTTTATCACTTTTTTTTATATTAAATTACGTCCTCGTTCATCTAAGTAGACTATCAATCTTATAATAAATACAAAACCCCTGTGTAAGTGGACGTAAATCGATTCGGCTCGTTTAAAGCTCACTCAAGATGGATATGTAACATATTTTTATTACTCGTCCGACGATAAAGCATTCAAGAATTATGGTTTCACAACGATCTGATATCAACCGATTTTCATGCCTTTCCGAGCAGAAATCTTTCGTTGTTATCATCATACGTTATAAATTTTACATCGGTTTGAGAAATGTGGTTTTAAACTACGGGATATTAACTGCAAATATATATTTAATAAAGAAAATTAGCACGCGACACGATCAATCAGCCGAAACGCGATAAGTCGATGAGTCTTCAAAAATTAAAGTTTATGAATAATTTGTGAAATATGTACATCTCAAAATTTTTATCGAATTTCACCAGCGTGGTCGCGATAATCGGATTTCGTTGCAATACTAATGAACGTTTTCCAAAACGTTTACGAACACGACACGCGTAAAAGATTTTCCACAAACATTCGAATACTCTGGATGAACCACTGTGAATTGACTTTGTAATTCGTAAAATTTCGACAAACCGAACATATATACGTAATATAACGTCAACTTACATTTTTTTTTTTTCTACTATCATCGATATCGAGTATCTTCGAGTTCGTTTCACGATATTGTTTCAAATGAAGATTACGCGTAATACGATCGTAACAAATGAAAACGAATGTTCACACACGCCACCGTTTTGTAATTGCGTCGAACAACGTCGCGCTTATCGCTCAACGTCTCTCTAATTAATTTTTTGATTAAACCTAAATTGCAAGAGGTGTTTCATCAATATTTCGGTAATAACGTTACGCTATCTGTTTTGTTCCGCTTTTAATCGGAAGAATGGAGACATTCACGCACTCAAGAGATACCGACATTGTTACGCAATTATTGGTGCAATTGGTAATCAAAGCGATAGTATTATTATACGAAGCGGGCGTATTATAATTCTGATTATAGTCCCAAGCGTGTTCCCCGTTCACGTGCAAAACATCGATTAACGCGCAACGATAGCGCAGCCTGCAAGCAAATTGCACGAAAGACGGTTGGACCGTCAGAAATTTCAACGCTGAAACCAAGGGAGTTAAATCATCGATTAATTAATAAATTAACAACCGTGGGGAAGGTGGCACGTTGAAAAATTTCTACGACGCTTTTTGAAAAGTTCGGAACGTTTTCGATTATTTTTCGCGCACCACGTGCGAATAATTTCAATTTTAAAGTAATCGTTATGTTTGTATTTGAGAATATTGTCTGATGAAAAATTAATAATTAAATGATCGGGCGAAAAGGATTTATTTCTAAATAATTCTCATTTTACACACACAACGAGAGAAATTAACTTGCGCTGGCAATTGATTGCGGACCATAACGAGTGACCGAACCGTATACAACGATTTGTCGCTTTCTTTTTGAACCTGTCGGTACGATATCGCTGGACAGAAATTATCGAGAGGCAATAAATTTATTATTTATGTTCTGCCTGTTTTGTCTTTACTTAAATATACTTACAAACTCAGGGAACATTACAATTTTGGAGCAAAAAAGTTCCTGCGTGGTAAGAGGTTAAATGTAACTATATATTCGAAATTAAATACCTAGAACTTTTACAAGAACGTGGTGTCTTTAAATTTTTTTTCTAAATTACTCAAGTTATCAACGTGAGTGTTTTCAGAAACATTTTCCCTTAGTTTCCTCCCCCACCCCGGTGAAAGAAGGTTACGATCGCAGAAATAACAATTCCGCCACGACGAAAACTACGTTTCGCCGTTTTACGAGCAATAACGTACATTTTTTTTTTAACGAGACAATGTTTAGACGATTTACCACGTCCCGGTTTAGAGTCGCGCGCCGCTTTTTCAACCCCCTCCCCCCCCAAAGAAAATCTCGCCACGCGATAACGTTGAAATTTACAGTTATTATAAGTGAACGAAATGCATATTAAATCGACAGCCTTGACCTAGAGAATAGTATTTTCGTGATTTAGCCGAGTGTCCTTCGTACATTCCTAAAATAACTCGACACAACACACGGAGACTCGCGCCGATCCCGACCAACACTTGGCACGAGCGTACCGGCTATTTGATAATTAAGCGAAACAAACGGCACTGATTTTGCATCGGGGAATTTTAATTCTCCATCGTCGCCCGATTGTTTACACACAAATTGGGTATTTTTGAACAGCCTCGAATCGAAACGGGAAAATCGGTGTTCGCGTTCGACGGGCAACCTGGTCCATCGTTTACGAGGAGGCTTCGGCAATTTTACTTTTACGATTGGCAAATACCTATTGCCAAGTACTGTGCGTAGCATAGTGTTTGTTAGCCTAAGGTGAACGTTGAGAAAATATTTATAGGAAATTCTCGTGAATAAGTTACGTGTATGTATGAAATAAACAGCTTTGCCAGTTGAGGAAAACGTTGAGGAAAGAAGTATGTGTTATAAAATTTTGCGCTATGTTAAATTGTCGAGCAAATTAATCTCAAAGCTATCCTTTTAGGGTAACACAAAGTGTTTTCTTTTATCTCGACGTTTGAGAATATTGATATCGAGAATATTGATCACGTAGGTAATGACACAACCATTAATCACAGAACTAACTATTAAATATTAATAATATTATTTAAAATAGTAATATTATTTTTCTTTTAAATACTATTATTTAAAATAATAATATTAATATTAATAATATTACTTAAAATAATAATATTAATATTAATAATATTGTTTAAAAATATTAAATTATAATTATATATTATACATTATAATATAATAATATTTAATAATAATATTAAATATTAACAATATTACTTAAAATAATAATATTATTTTCCTTTTTTACCATCTACTCTTACACTATCTCGAGTCCACCGGATTATTCGCTCATTCGAGTATTTCGTACCAAAATACATCTCGTTTTACTGAACATGCATTTCACTTCATTTACGCGAATTTCAACGTCAATTTCGAAACTCGAGTATCGATGGTTATTGAAAATAATGATAATCGATTCGTTTGTTTATTCATTTTTCCAAAGCTTCGAAATGTAATAGCTGCAAAGTATATTTCTTCTAATATCCTCTCGCACAAGCACATGCCGACGCGATTAATGCACAAATGAAATCGATCGATGATAGACACGAATAAGCTAAAAATTACTAGAGCGGAATAAGATCGTCAGGTTGATCGGCAGATTTCGACAGATTGAAAATGAATGGAGCGGCGACGAGAGGAGTCCGAATTGAAACGGAAATACCGAGACTGACGTTTTTCGGCTCGGTTAGTGACACGTGCGCGTAATAATTGAGCGGCCTCATCGGCGTCCGGTATTGATCGATAGAGCACTCGAAAATCTAGATTAAAACCCGTCGATAAATGGTCGTTAAGTGCGTGTCCCTTTATCTCCTCTGCAACGCAGAATCTATTAATATCAGACGAAGAATCGATTCGTGATAAGCTGATCGGCGAACGACTCAAGAGGACAATCTCAGATTAGTTTCGTAATTGCACGATAGATCTATTAACGCCACTGATTTCAACTATAAAAACCGGCGATACCGGTTCTGAAATCCACACAACACGTTCTGTCATCGTTGAAAGTGGAACTAACTTTCAAGATGCACAAGCTGATCGTCCTTCTCGCCCTCGTCGCCCTAGCGGCTGGTAAGTTTTTTGAACATTTCCGCGAGAGTTACAATGGCGCATTGTCGGCTATAAATATTGCTAAGATATTACTCGCTGCGTCTGATGAGAAACTTCAACAAATTTTACTGAGGATAGAAACAGCAGGAAGCTGTTATTGTCAAATCTTGCGTGATAATTTACAAAGTTAATATAACATAAGCGCAAACGAGCGACAAGCTGCAAATTCCAGAGAGATAAAGAGACTTTCTTCCCCTTTCGTGTAACTTTATAATATCGTGTCGGAAGTAGGTCGTAATTGCGCTGGCAAACTGATTGCGGATCATAACGAGTGACCAAACCGTATACAACAATTCGCCGAGAAGTAATAAATTTGTTATTTTGTTCGGTGCCTATTTTTGTTTTACTTGTAAATATACTTAAAACTGAGGAAATGTCGCAATTTTGGGACGAAAAATTCTTTCGACGTGCGTGGCACAAGAGGTTAACGCGAAGTTATCTCACGATATCAACACAAATGACAGAAAAAAAGAGAATATTTTCAAACGAAATCTCCGTCTTTCAGGAACCCCCATAAACCAGACAGTGAACGACCTGATTCAGCGAATGGACGGTCGCATCGTAGGTGGCGAAGAAACCAACATCTACGCAGTACCGTATCAAGTGAGCTTGCGAGTCTCTGGCCGACACATCTGCGGTGGTAGCATAATCGCCAGGAACTGGGTTGTAACCGCCGCACATTGTTCCACGTATTCCAGCAACCAGTACCAAGTGCACGCAGGCTCGACCAACGTCAACGACGGCGGCTCGCTGCACCGAGTCGAACAAATAATCAGGCACGAAAACTACGGAAACAGGGGCATCCCGGTGAACGACATCGCTCTGTTTCGTCTGGCGGAGCCGCTGCAACTCGACAGCTCCAGGAGAGCAGTGTCGTTGAATCAGGCAGGTGTTTCATCGCTGGTTGGCAAATACGGATTGGTCACCGGCTGGGGTACCACCCAGGAGTCGAGTTCGAACATACCTCGAGTCCTTCGCAAGGTTTCGGTTCCCATAGTCTCGATGGAATCGTGCAGGCAGGCCTATCGCAGCGTCGGTTGGATACCTGACGGTGAAATTTGCGCCGGGTTTACGAACGGTGGCAAAGACTCCTGCCAGGGTGATTCAGGTGGTCCGTTCGTCGTCGATGGCAACCTCGTAGGAGTCGTCTCCTGGGGAAAGGGATGCGCGGTTCCGAATTATCCAGGAGTTTACACCGAGGTCGCCCACTATCGCCAATGGATCAGACAGCACAGCGGTGTCTAATTTCGCGAGCAACCGAAATGCTCTCTCCCCTGATGACGATTCCTGACCTATTCCTCGTTTGATATCTTTGTTGACAACGAATCTGACGATTATACCTTCGCGAGCTGATCTAAGAATAAATTAAAAAGAAAAAAAAACAAACTTCAAACGTGAAACGTGCCTCCTGACGTTTCCTCAACACCTGGCTTTAATTGAAACGACGTGTGGCGATTTGACAGAATTTGATCTTGGCGATTGTACAGAGAAATAAACGATTTTGTCGTACGTTCGCTAAAGCTTCGTCTATATTTGTTGTTAGAGAGTTGTAGAGAACATTTGGGCATTCTCGCCCGGACGAAACTTCTTCAAAATTTCATTCCCTCGCGAGTGAAAACGAGTGAAAACTCTTTCTCGCTTCTTCGAGAGGGTAAGAACAATAAAACCGTGTGAGTTACGGTCAATCGGCGGTGACGGTGAAACTAAGGATAATACGTCGATTTATTTGCACGGGAAGCTCTCGAATCTAAAAGCTTCGAAGTATTTCTCTGTATATCCCTTCACGGGAATCATGGAGGCTAATACTCCTGGGCCAAAGTGGGAACTAAAAGCGGTGGTAAATGGGGTCGGTCAGTCTTCGATACCGTTATACGCAGCAGCCTTCTCCCTCCCTCCCACTCTACCGCTTTTCCCACCCTCTGACGTCACACAGTGTAGACAGAGACTCAGGCTCGCTACCATCCTCCCATTGGCTTTCATTTCGGGTCAGCCGAGGTCACGCCGTAATACCGTGTCCGACTTACTTCCTTTTCCTCTTCTCTTACCTCGGAAGAACACCGGCTGACCAAGACTTTTCCTCCTTTCTTTCGTCTCCCTTCGGACCCGATCCCACCACTCTTCCGTTCGCAATCTCACGTACAGGATGACCCCGGTAATGATGGTTACAATCGACAACGAGACGCGATTCCGCACGTAAGAAATGAAAAAAATAACCGAAGACGAGAAAACCGAGCAGAGATTATACTCTGCGTGTGAAAATAAATGGAAGATGACTCCACGTTTCAAAGGAAATTTTATTTTACACTCTCATTTATTTTCTATATCTTTTATTTTTTTATTTTTCTATATTTTTCTCTATATTTATTTTCACACGTAGCCAACGAGTTCGTTGTTATTCAGCAAATTCTCAAATTTCATTCCAACGAAACGGACGAAAAAAGTAAGGAAATGTTTCGTTCGATTTACTCTCTGAGAGAGAATCGACCCTCTTGTCGATTCTCTGCTACTGAAGGCATTTACACCGGAAACGTGTCCGTGACAATCGCCGAATCTCCAAATGGAAGTTTTATTTGTCAAGTTCCGTTGGCTCGGCGAAATTTTCGTCTCCCTGGCGACGCTAATTTTATTCGCGTCCCGATTGCGAACGAGCGCGCGTTCGACAAGTGGAAACGGGATCCAACTCTGTCTTTGATAGGCCGGAAACTCGGTAGAATGGCCTGACTCGTCACTGGCAAGCCTCTGACAGCTTTCGATAAAACTTTTCTCACAATCGGGGCGAGCGCTACGGGAGGGGAGAGAAATCCGTGCCTTACCCCCCGTTGATTGTTGCTCCAGCGTATTTTCTATACAAGCGCTCTCCTAACGGCGGCTGGCTTAACTTTCAAACGAGCAGCTTTAAAAACCCGATACAAACTTCCCCGTTAATCCTGCGGAAATTCTATTCATCCCGTCGTTTCACGTGTCGCGGTGCGCGTAATAGCCATGAAAAGAAGCGATACGCTTGTCAGAAAACCCAACTCGGGTCATTCTCCTTCTTCGTAGGAATGACACACATGTTACTACGCATACGGGGTGTCTCGTTTTTCAATTCATCACCGCGATTGTTCATTATTCGAAAAAAAAAAAAAGAAGAAAATTGTTTGGAACAACGACAACCATCGAATTTTTCTAGATTAGATTTAGGTCAATTCCACGGAATCTCGGTAACATTTGCCACGTCGCACGTCGAGAACTTTTTTGTCCCAAATTGCCACACTTTCTCAGTTTCAAGTATATTTAAATGTAACCCAGGCAAAACAAACAAGTTTATTAATCCTCTTAATCATTTCTATCCGGTGATATTCATACCGACGAGTTGAAAAGGAAAAGAAAGCGACGAATTATTGCATACGGCTCGGTCACTCGTTATGGTCCGCGCAAACCGCGTTGCCAGTCGCAAGGGGATCAAATAAAATCAAATACATTTTTTTTTTCATATAGTTTGATGATTATAGTTCCATGTGAAAAGGCACGTATGTCGAATATCAGGAGATATTTTAAATTCAATTTTATAAAACTTATTGCACGAGAAACGAGAACAATGTGAACGCAAACACATCGGTTTCGCTATCTTTTTGCATTAATAAATTAATTATGTTACACAATGTTAAAATATCTCCTCGAAACGGGACAAGTTTTATTTGAAACATTCTCTCGAATGACGAATGATAATCCGCTATTATTTATAAGTATCGAAATATTTACAAATGCCGCACAAAGCGCAACAATCAATCGGGATTCAGAGGACGCGATTAATCAGCGAGAATCGCGTACACGTGCAGGATTAATATTTTGGGATTGATAGGAAAAAGTTGATCAAAGTTAGTTGGCAAAGAGTTTCGAGAACACGTTACACGATACGATCGCGGCTCCTTTGACTCCGACTCTCCATTTCGTTTGCGAAAAAGGCCGAACAAATGTCAGGCCGAGTGATGGAAAATACATTCTTCAGCGAAAGAAACGCAGGCAGTTTATTTCTAACTGAATTGCCTGCTTCAAAGAATCTCGTGTACATAGAATCCTGAATAGTTGACGAAGTGGCTTGAACTCATGACGAGCAACGCACAGGAGACAAGGAGCACAGTATCGTTCAAGATTAATTCAAACATTTATATCGCTGAATCAACGTTCTTACAGCAACGTTTCCAGGTTAATGGAAAGAAAGTTCTACCGACAAATGAGACGAAATAATCGTGCAAATTATAGTTATACACTCGTTCAAAGATATAGCCATTCGTTCGAACGTTGTTTATTCGAAATTGTAATTGCAATAGCTGTAGAAGCGGCGGCTATTATTGGACCACGGATCGCATCATTGGTCCACAAAGAGCGACGCGTCATAAAGGTGCAAGCATAATCTTAGACGTGACGATTTGTCTACACCACGAAGCGGCACGACAAGACACATTTTCTCTCATTATTAGACTGTCAAGCGACGAGGAAGAGACTTTTATTTTTCGTTTTATGCTCCTCGCTTCGTCACGACGAGAACGTATCGCTCGATGAACTTGAATTTGCTTCTCGTCGTGAACGAAGACTGAGAGATCAGAAAGATTGACTCGTTCAAAGGTTAAAATGAAAAGAAAAAGAAAACAATCAAGTCAAAATATGCACGAGAGAGTTTGAGAATTGAAATTTCGAACTGAAGAGAAAGTCCAACTGGCAGAGAGAATTCGGGACACAATGTTGCTAATAATAACTAACAATTCTGACGATCTGGCCGATCGTTGTGATTAACAGTTTTTGCCCGTGTATTGCCTACGCCACGGAAACGACGACCCATTTCTTGGAATAGAATCCAATCTTTGTATCTGCCTAAATATTTAGTATTTTGAGACCAGATTGGCGCAACTCTCGCAGTTATTCGCAGCAGTATCTTCTTTTCGCGAAAAAGAAAGAAAAACTTGTGTTGTAAAATTGTGTACGTAAAATGATATATTTCTCGACAAAGTTAACGCTAGACTACCTAATATTTCCTAATAATAGAAATCCTATGAATTTATAACAGTATATTTTTAGTGACCCGAGTGATTTTTTGTAAAATGCTTAATAAAATTGAAGCTCGTGGCCCTTGATCACATTAGAAATTTTTTCCCTGGCCCCGTGTATCTCGATTCCTCTGCTGCGAATTTTTATACCTTAGTCAGTCGCCGACAGCTCCGCATAGTATTAACGCAAAATGCTAAACTGGAACTCTTTGAGAGGAAAGTCTGGAAAAAATGAGGCATTAGGAGCGAAAGTGAACTAACCCCGATACTCAGCAAACTGAGTAATTCGCTGTCTAAAATAGTCCAGCGCTATAATAAATAGACGATGGCGAATGCAAATATGCAACGATGTTCGTGCAAATTATGCAAATTGGTGTTTTTCACGATTAATAGACTCTTCCATCTAGTATAGAGTATAACGATTTAATTATTAAATTATCTAAATTCCGAATTTATATCCTATATAAATAATAACAAAATCCTTCCACTTTTTTGCATGATTAATTCAATTATCTTTCATTCCCAATGTCTCGAATAAATCAATAACATGCAGGCATTCATACAAAATTCCCAGAAGGTTTCGGAATGCTCGTGTCGATGTTAGCGATCTTCGTTCGACAATCTAGTCGTGCGATCCGTCGGGAAATTGCGGATGCAGGTAGCAACATCGTCCAATTAATTTCGTAATTAATGGAAAACGAACGCGCTAATCAAAGCCCTCCAACCAGTGGCTTTAGACGCAGGATTATCTCGTAATTTTTATTTAAGACGGAACGACTGTGGAAATTTTAATTACCGATTGAGTTTTGACGATTCGAATGTTTAACCTCTCGCGCTGGTAACTGATTCGCGGACCGTAACGAGTGACCAAACCGAATACAATAAATCCTCTTCTTTTTAAATTCATCAGTATATCACTGAATAAAAATTACTAAGAAGTAATAAATTTATTATGTGCTTTGTCTGGGTTATATTTCAATATAGTTAAAATTGAGAAAATCATGGAACAAATCGACTTGAAATTAAACTTTAACCTCTTGCGCTAGTAACTGGTTCGCGGACCATAACGAGTGACCAAACCGTATACAATAAATCCTCTTCTTTTTAAATTCATCGGTATATCACTGAATAAAAATTACTAAGAAGTGATAAATTTATTATCTGCTCTGTCTGGGTTATATTTCAATATAGCTAAAACTGAGAAAATCATGGAACAAATCGACTTGAAATTAAACTTTAACCTCTCGCGCTGGTAACTGGTTCGCGGACCATCACGAGTGACCAAACCGTATACAATAAATCGTCTTCTTTTCGAATTCATCGGTATATCACTGGATAAAAATTACTAAGAAGTAATAAATTTATTATCTGCTTTGTCTGGGTTATATCTCAATATAGTTAAAACTGAGAAAATCATGGAACAAATCGACTTGAAATTAAACTTTAACCTCTTGCGCTAGTAACTGGTTCGCGGATCATAACGAGTGACCAAACCGTATACAATAAATCATCTTCTTTTCGAATTCAGCGGTATATCACTGAATAAAAATTACTAAGAAGTAATAAATTTATTATCTGCTTTGTCTGGGTTATATATCAATATAGTTAAAGTTGAGAAAATTATGGAACAAATCGATTTGAAATTAAACTTTAACATCTTGCGCTGGTAACTGGTTCGCGGAC